CTGCGAGCCCTCGCGCCGCCTCTCCGGAGAGGGGCAGTTCTGTGGCACCGGCCGCGGCGCGCGCAGCGCCATCCTCTTCGCGCCCCCCCGCTGGGGGGCCCGAAGAGGGGCAGGGAGAGCCCGCGACGATCGAATGGAATCGGATCGGCGGAGATCGGCGGCCGAGTCGGGAAAAGTCGACTCGGCGGAGATCGGCAGGCTAGCAGGCCTCCCACGGAATCCGACATCGAACCGGATCGGACTCCATCGAAACATCGAATCGAATCGGATCGGGGGAATCGAGATGAGCCTCCTCGGGTGCAACCTGCGGTCGGACGGACGTCGGGACATCGAATCGACTCGACTCGGGAAATCGAATCGACTCGAAAACACTATCGACGACCCCGCTGCCTGACTGGGAGACTCTGGGACAAGTCCAAATCCCCAGTCAGGCGATCGCCGAAAACCGAACCCCCACCACCAGGGCGGGCGGGCGGGAAAAACCGAACACCGAGCAGCCGGCACCAAGAAGACCGCCCCCAGCGGCCCACCGAGGGAGCGCGCCGCCTGTGACCAACTCCGCGGGCACCATGGCCGCGAGCACACGGCAACCGAGCCCCCGAAAGGGAACTGCGGCGCCACCGCCCCCAAGGGCAAAGACGACGACGACGCCGACGACAGACAGACAGACAGACAGACAGACGGACGGACGGACAGACAGACAGACAGACAGACAGACAGACAGACAGACAGACAGACAGACAGACAGACAGACCAACGGCCCAGAGAGACCGACGGACAACCGCGACCTCACCGAGGCCCCCAGGCGCGTGAGAAGCAACACCGCCGACGGGAAGCGCCGCCAGGCACCGCCAGCTCCACCAGGAGCACCCACTTTGGGATAAGGCGAGTGAGCAAAGAAGCGGAGGAGTACATAGACAACTCCGGCCGCTCGTTGTTTTCTCGCGCTGAAAACGCTACGCGTTTTCGCGCGGAGAAAACACTATCGACGACCTCCGCGGGAGCAGTGGGACGCGACAGACCCCGCTGCCTGACTGGGAGACTCTGGGACAAGTCCAAATCCCCGCTGCACCCAGACCTCCCAGGCGGAAGCTGACTACGCGTTGCCTGTGAAGCAAGAGAGAATCTTTTTGGAACCACAGCCAGGCCCAATGCACCAAGAAAGTTCACTCGCCGTCTGACGAGCTCGAATGCTCGACCAAAAATTCAGCTGCCTGCAGGGCCCCACGTGCCCGGGCACTGGCGTACGCAAAGGCAGTCAACCCACGCCAGCCTCCACTGTAGAAGAGGGCAGTCGGACCTCCTGCTTTGAGAGCATCCGAAGCCCAACCACGCCTGAAAGCATGCGTGCCCCACGCCTGCGGGGACCTCAGATTGCACGCAGCCGCTGCTAGCTTTAAGAAAGCCAGCGACTCGGAATAAGATATGTGTTGGAACGGTGGCTCTTTGGCCTCGACAACAGGCACTAAGGCGCACACGCCGCACAAAGACGGCCCCTGCGCCCCACATATGCAGCCCCTGACCACTTCAACTGGCTCCTTGTAACATTTCCGCCGCAGAAATGTTACGATCACCTGCTTCTTGCCCTTGGCCTCCTTGATTCTTAGTGGGGCCAGGCTCGTACCAATAATCAAGGTTTCACTATAGCGCAAGGTGAAGTGGCGCGACACAACCCACGACCGAGCCACGTCCGGCCTGGATGCCTTCTCGGAAACCCACTTTGCCAAGGCGCGCGTGTCTCCTGGCGAAGCCCTCAACTTCACACGGCGAGTCGCCGGATCCGTGGCCTTCTCAGCGCCCCGAATCAAGCGGGAAGTGTCCGCCAAAGGACCTGGTGAACTTTTCAACCAAGCCAACGCTGTTCGAAGACGAGACACATACTGCGCTAACGATGCTCCGCTCCGAAAGAGAGACACGAAGCAATCCAAGATGCACTCCTGAGGGGGCCATGGCTCCACGCGCACCGTAGCCGCTGCCTGTCCCCACAAGACCACAGCAGACGCATAACCCAAGGCACTTTTTCGCCAGCCTTGAAATTCAATCCAGCATGCCCGCTCCGCGAAGACGGCGGCGGGAGCGGGGCTTCGTTGAGCTTCGCGAGCTTCAGCTGTTGGCGCCTGGCCAGGCATGTCCACGGGCGGCTCTGGCACTTTGTGGAGCACGCGTATGGCGTGTGCCAGTACCGGCGGCGGGGGGACACAGCCCGATTGCCTTGCAGCCACTACCAGTCGCAATGCTGCGAGCGCTTGCGCCATTTCTTCGGCTGACGCCGAGGCTGGCGCAGCTGGACCCGCCAATGAATGCTCACGGCTGCGAGCCTGGCGGTCCGTCTGCGCTTCCTGCACCGCTGGCTGCTGCATCCCCCTATCCGCTCGACCACAGAACAACAGAAAAACCTTGACGATGGCAACGTCCAGCTGGCCCAGGGCAGGCCAAACCTCCTGCGCCTCGAAAGCGTCCAACGAGCCAAAATCACTGAAGGAAGTCGCGCCGTCGCGCTGCAGACTTGCTGCGATGCCGTCCGCGTCATGGACGTCCTGCTTCGCGGCGCCACCGGCCCCCTGAAGCACGCTCGCCAATTCGCCGCGCCAGCGATCCGCAGGATGGCCAGGACGTGGAAGGGAAGCGACAGGCGGCAGCGCTGGCTCGCTGGCCTCAGTAAGCCCCTCACGTAAGCGCTGCCATCTCGCCCGCTCTGCGTTGACAAAACTCAACGCCATGCGCCGGCCTGCAACCCGCAATCTATTTTGAGCCGAAGGCTACGGACGACAAAAGCAGAAGTGCCAGGCAGAAGCCACGCGTGGGAAACTGAGTGCGCCTGCGCTGCGTACATTTTCCTTCCGCGGACACCCAGCCATTGCCGCCTTAGCTGTCCCAGGGGAGCGCTGGCCAACGCCAAGCCGTCTCCCGGAAAGACAAGCTGTCTAGTTCAGCGCGGCTCTGCTCCGCTTTACTTACGCGAGTAGGCCCATCTGCCAGATTCAACGCAGAAGGGACATAATGAGCGTGCATAAGCACACTTGCTGCAGCTAGATCGAACCAGATGGTGCCCAAAACTGCGTTGAGATCGGGCTGCCGGGAACTGTCACGCAAAAGTGCGCTCAACGCCGCTGTGTTGTCGATAAACACAATGAGCTCTGGTGACTCGACTCCTTGCTCCAAGAAAAGCCGCACGCCGCACAATGCTGCCACTAATTCCCAGAGGGTCACCTGCGCGCGCCTGGGCCGAGCCCAAGCCCAAGCTCTAGACGGAATCTTTGCTGCCGCCCAGACATGCTTTGACGGAGTTTGAAGCACTACAGCCAAGTTGCCTCCGCCAGTGGCGTCAGTGTACAGGATGCACCTCTGGAGCGGAGGTTGGCTGAACCGCACGAAAACGGAAGGGTCAGAGCTTAAAAATCGCTCCCACCACTGCAGAGCATTGCGCACGCGAGCTGCCAGCATACGTTTCCGTTGGCTGCTCTGCCAGAAGAGCGGTGCCAGAAAAATTCTCGCTCCGCGGCCAAAAACAGCTGTGGCCCCCCAGCTAAGGCGACCAGCAAGTTTAGCAGCCTCTGCTGGCGCCAACGCGTCACTACGCAAGGCATCGCGAATTTGCTGGAGCCACTTTTTTTTCTTCTCGCACCCAATCCAAAACCAAATGCCCTCCAGGCAGGCCTTCGCCTGTACGCCTAACACGGCCATTTGTGTCGCCCCAGCAACTGCTTTGGATTCATCTAGCAGCCAGCCAAGCAAGTCCACGATCACTGTGCGCGCAAGCCCCGCCGACCCTCGCGGACCCACCAAAGATCCGGGATCCGCGGTGCTCGTGCGCGCGTCTGCGCCGAACAAATCGTCGACGAAACGCGGATAAGCAAGCAGAAATATACGGGCCAAAATTGCTTGCACCGTGCTACCGAATCGATGCCGCGCAAAGACAGAAGCCGCCGCGCCAAAAGGACAAGAGAGCAACTGTAATCCCTTGTCCTGCTGGGCAGCACTATTCCACGTGGCAACTGAAAACCGGAGATGGTTCTCCTGCACAGGAAGCGTCTTGAACGCACTTTTAAAATCATCCTTGCGGAAGAGCAGAGGCGAACCCCCCTCTGCAGCGTCAAAACAAGCCCGGGCCACACCAACAAGTGTATCGAGCGTGTCGTGACGCATTTCCTCTGGAATGCAAGTGGCAGAGTTGAGACCGTTGCCACTGAAATCGTCGATCAGACGTACTTTCCTACTCCTCTGCCCGGCACGTTCCCGCCAACCTTCGTCGACAGGGAAGCGGACTGCAAGCAAAGCATCTACGGCGGAAAGCTTTACCCAAAAAGCTTTCCTCTGCGCAACCTCTTCTTTGCATTTGTTCTCAAACGCCTCCTCTGCCGCGGGGCACAGCGACGCGCGGGCCCACGCCTTGCGCAAAGTCGGCGTTGATAGCGCCCACCGAACATTCCAGCGCACTTACGGCCACTGGTTCGGACACGCGCCGCTTCGGAGGCATTATACCGGAAGGATTCAACCTACCCGCGATCGGAAATCCGAAAGCTAAGTTATGTACAAGCTCTTTATCTGGCCACGCGATGCTCTCGAGCATCTCCGCGAGAAGCAGTAGATTCTTCCCCGGCCCTACCAGCTGCTGCACGTGCAGCGGTAATCCCTGCAGAATTTGCTCCCAGGGCACAGCCAGGTCACGTTTCCGCCCCTGCCAGTACTCTAAAGCGTCAGCGCGCCATCTATGCAAAGCCCCCCGGCTGAGAGCCGAGGATTTTTGAATTGCATCCTGCAGCAAAGGAGGCAAGCAGCCCTCACGCGCGACGTGCGGCAAAAACTGCGCCCATTTAAAATGCGCCGCAGGTGTCATAGCAGACCGGGCGCCCCGATCCTGTAGCAGAGCATGCACGGCCGAACGGATCTCGACAAGAAAATCCTTTCCACCACGTTTCCTCTGTACCCTGAGAAGAGCTCCCGTCAGAAACCTCGCTCAGTTGTTCCTCCACGTCTGTCTCGGGGAATCGTCCTTCCCCTCACTTGTTCCACCACTTGTCCTGCCAGGACTTGTTGCCCTGGTTGTTGCCATGGCCGCCCTTGCCTCCCTTGCCGTTGGAGTTGCCGCCGTTGCCAGAGCGCTTTGGCGACCTGGACCTCTTCTTCTTGGGGGTGCTCGGCGCGGGCCCAGCCCCTTTGTGCGCCTTGCCCTGGCCCTTCGGCGCCGCCCCGCTGGAGCTGGAATTGCCCCAGCCTCCGTAACCAGAGCTGCTGCCGCCGTAGGTCCGGGAGCCTCCGCCGTGCTGCGCCTGGCCAGTGGTCGTCCGGCCGGTGGTCTCCTTCATTTTCTGAGACACTTTATCTTTGGCCTTCCGGGCCATGTCCTCGTCGAGCACGTTGAAGTAGTGCGAAAGCCGGTCCTCGCCTCGCTCGAGCGAGCGCGCCATCGCCTTACGCTGCAAGATGTCGTACTGATAAGCCGTCCGGACCCCGCCGTGTTCCTCAGCTATGTGGGTCAAATTGAACAGGTCAGCCAAAAGCTCTGTGGACGAGCACGCTTTCATCAGCACACTTCATCCCCCACTGGAAGACGTGACCCACGAACGTAGCGTAGCTCTGGTAATCGAGCTTCAACTCGTCCGCTCGGGCTTTCTTGTCGTCGAGCACATGCTTGACCTTCTCCTCAATAGATGAACCAGTCGGTGGCGCAGCCACGACAGGCGTGCGCGACCATTCCGGTCGGTGGTGCGTCTGCAGACACTCACCGTCCGCGCTGCCAATCCACTTGCGCTGCTTCTCGGCGGCCACTTTGCCAGCATGCTCGAATTTGGCCAAGGTTTCTTCTGAAGGGAACCCATCCGATGGGAAGTGCGCCAAACCCATTTCTTGGATCCGCTTGGCCAAATCGAAAGACAAACCCTTCTTTGCAGAGCCCGCCGCGGCCGTGTGAGACGTCGCCTGGACGAACTGCTGCATGGCATTGGCGAACACCGAGGCCCCTGCAGCATCCGAAACCGAACACCGAGCAGCCGGCACCAAGAAGACCGCCCCCAGCGGCCCACCGAGGGAGCGCGCCGCCTGTGACCAACTCCGCGGGCACCATGGCCGCGAGCACACGGCCACCGAGCCCCCGAAAGGGAACTGCGGCGCCACCGCCCCCAAGGGCAAAGACGACGACGACGCCGACGACAGACAGACAGACAAACAGACAGACGGACGGACAGACAGACAGACAGACAGACAGACAGACAGACAGACAGACAGACAGACAGACAGACAGACAGACAGACTGACTGACAGACAGACCAACGGCCCAGAGAGACCGACGGACAACCGCGACCTCACCGAGGCCCCCAGACGCGTGAGAAGCAACACCGCCGACGGGAAGCGCCGCCAGGCACCACCAGCTCCACCAGGAGCACCCACTTTGGGATAAGGCGAGTGAGCAAAGAAGCGGAGGAGTACATAGACAACTCCGGCCGCTCGTTGTTTTCTCGCGCTGAAAACGCTACGCGTTTTCGCGCGGAGAATCCGAGCAAGGCGCTGCCACTCCTCGGGTGCAGCCTGCGGTCGGGAAGCTGCGGGGCGGCAGCCGTCGCGGACGCAGCCGCGAGCGGGGGGAGGCGGCTGCTGCGCGCCAGCCCCAAGGGGGGGGGGACGGCCGGGGGGCGGAGTCGGGCGAGCGGCACTTGCGGCACGCGGGGGTCGGAGGAGACGGAGGAGGAGGAGGAGGAGGAGGAGGAGGAGGAGGAGGAGGAGGAGGAGGAGGAGGGGGAGGATGGGGAGAATTGAGGATTGAGGAGGAGAAGGAGGAGGAGGAGGAGGATTGAGGAGGAGGAGCGAGGATCGGAGGGGGAGGAGAAGGAGGAAAGGGAGGAGGAGGAGGAGGAGGTGAGAGAGGAGGGTCGTCGTCGTCGTCGTCGTCGTCGTCGTCGTCCTCCTGCTTCTCCTCGGAGGGGGGCATGCCTGAGTCGTGAGGATCGGTTGGGCACAGCGCGGGGCCGCAGAGCGAGGCGGTGCGCGGGTATCGCCCCACCGAGGGGCGGTGTGAGGCAGCGTGGAACTACGGTCGGACCTAGGACAGAAAAACATCCTGAAAGATTAGGCGAAAATTTCCCGCCCGCCGATTTTGGTAGCAAGCTGGGTTCCTGGGTTCCTGGTTCCAGGTTCCCGGCTGCTGGTTCCGGGCCGATTTCGGTGGGTTCCGGGATCCTGGGTACCTTGTCGATCTCCTTATCGTTATCTTTATCGATCCCACGATTCATTATCGATCTCATGATTCATCTCGCTCAATCGATCTCACCATCGATCTCATCATCAAACCATCCACTGATTGTTGTTTTCTCTGGTGAAATAAAATATAGAGGGATATTGTGCGCAAGCTATGCGGTGCACTCGACCAGGTGCAAACTATGGTGTGCTATCTTTGTGGTGCAGTATTTGTGGTGCAATCCATGTGGTGCAATTTATGTGGGGGCAATCTTTTGGTGCAATCTATGTTGCGCACTCTACGTTGTGCAATCTGTGTGGTACAATCTATGTGGTGCAATCCACTCTGCTGAACTTGAACTCGTCATCTCCACTGCTCGCGCAAACATCCCATTCACCCACCCGCAACTTGATTTGCAAAACCTGTTCAGACCGACTACGACGACACCGACGACAACGACTAGGACGACACCGACGACGTCTCCGACGAGTTCGACGACGACAACGACGCCGACGACGACGAAGGCGACGACGACGCCAACGAAGGCGACGACGAGGGAGGAGGAAGGACGACGACTGCGACAACGACGACAACGACGACAACGACGAGGGAGGAGGGAGGACGGCGACGACGCGAACGACAACGAAGGAGGAATGACGGCGACGCCGACGACGACAACGACGAGGGAGGAGGGAAGACGACGACGACAACGACGACGACGGTGACGAAACAGGAGGGACGACGACGAGACGCCGACGACGGACGACGACGACGACGTGGGAGGAGGAGGAAGGACGACCACGGCGACAACGACGACGGAAACGACACGACGCCAAAGAGGACGACGACGACGAACACGAGAAAAGACAGAGGACGACGTAGGCGACGACGACGACGACGCGGGAGGAGGGAGGACGGCGATGACGCCGACGACGACGACGACGACGCAAGAGCGCGCGCGCACGCTTTTGTTGAACATCCGTGTTGCGAAACCTTGGGTTTTTGTATTTCTGGTAGCTGTCGGTTGGGCGTCTTCTTGGTGACTCGATGGGTTCAATTTCCCCGCTCGATTTCGCTGACCCCGCAATGCGGGACATGATCAGGAATCTGGTGAAAAACGGGGAGAAGCCTTATGACAAAGAAGGCGAGGGCGCTGAGTTTCGTGCCTGGAAGGTGCAGCCCGCCCAAGTGGCCTTTGCTCTCCGCGTCCAGGGGAAATGTGCCACGTCCGTGCCGCCACCTCCGACTGCTGAAAACACCCTGGCCAAGACAATGGCTGAGTATCTCGAAGCCCAGGCTGCAACGCACAAGCGCTCAGTGAAGGCTCTTTCGTTCAAGTCGTCGGACCGCGTCGCAGAGCTGAGCATGGAGAATTTCCCTGAGGACCTCCTGCCGTCTGAGGAAGGCCTGGCTACCTTCGGGGAAAGGGGCCGCGTGGCCAAAGATAAGGGCCGCCCATACGTGGGGAGCGCTGATGGAGAGGATCTCCAGAAGCATTTCCGCCCCGCTTGGTCGAAGACGCCGCGCATTGATGTCCCCGTTGGCGAAGGCAGCGTTGCTGAGCGGCACCGCCAGATGGTGGATTTCAAGCGCGCCAAGGCCAGCGGGGAGCTGGAGTATCCTGGGTACGCGTCCTTCCAGTCGCACCTGATGGATTGGGGTACTAAACTGATCCTCATGAAGGTTGCGACGCCCGTGGACATCCTGGGTTACACGGGCCTCCTGAGCAAAATGGCCGAGGAGAATGGGGGCGTCCGGACACGACCTGCTCAACCGGACCGCCATGGCCAAAGCTTTGGAGAAGGGCGATGCTGGGTGGAAGCGTTTATTCTCCAAGGTCGACATGGACAGGCTCCGCGAGGCCAAAGACAAGGTCACGAGCAGGGCGGCCGGAGCAGCGAAAGCAGCTTCTGCGAGGGGTTCTGGCGCGGCCAAGGGCAGCAGCGGCGGCAAGGGCGGCGGCAAGGCCCCGATGTCTCTTTCACCAAAGGCGCCGCCGCGCTCGCGCAGCCCCCGGGACAGTGGCTGGAAGCAGAGCTCGAGCTGGAAGCAGGACAGCTGGCACCATAACGCCTGGTCGAAGAAGAAGTGAAGCCAGAGCCGGAGCTGCAGCGCAGGCTCCAGCGACGATTCCCGCCGTTTTGATGCGGAATCGAGCGATGTAGCATCGCATGCTTGCCGCAGTTTAAGCGGCGCTGCCAGCGCGCCCCGCTCCCCCCAGCGGCGGGTCGAGCCTGGATTTAAGGTTGAATTCCCGGCCTTTCCTGGCTTGTCCCGGGAGCTTGTGCATAATTTCCCTATTTCGAGGTTTACGAAGAACTTCGGTCTTGTAAACCAGCTTTCTAACACGTTTTTCTATTTCTTGGTTGGTTTACAAGTTTTTGGGCAGGTTTACAAGACCCAGTCGGGTCTTGTAAACCTGCATCGATTGAACCAGACACCAGGTCTTGTAAACCTGCTTGGGGCCCTGGCATATCTTACGAGAGACTAGGGAGCGCCAGGGGGCGCCTGGGAGCGCCAGGGAGCGCTCGGGAGCGCCAGGCAGCGCCAGGGAGCGCCAGGGAGCGCCAGGGAGCGCCAGGGAGCGCCTGGGAGCGCCTGAGAGCGCCTGGGAGCACCTGGGAGCGCCTGGGAGCGCCTGGGAGCGCCTGGGAGCCTGAGAACGCCTCGGAGCGCCTGAGACCGCCTGAAACCGCTTGGGAACGCCTGAGACCGCCTGAGAGCACGATTCCGGGCCAACTCCAGGCAGACACCATTCTTCTGCTTACTTGAATCGTTCATCCATGGCCATTTGCATCAGCTGCGTGCTAATTCTGAATATTTTACTGTACTTTCCATATCCACATGCTTGTATTAATTTGCTTTCTTCTTTTGTGTGCATCCGCTGCTGGTCTGAGAATTGATATGTCAAATAATGGATTTTCGCAGTGCCCCTACTGTCAATTATGGGTCCCGGACGCGCAAGTAATGACACATTTGGCGCGTCATCCAGGATACATGGAGCAATTCATGGTAAGCACATCCGCGTCGTCAACGTCAGCAGTTGTTCCACAGCCAGTCGCTGCGATTCAATTTCCACCACCACTTCCACAACCAATCGGTGCGATTCAGGGCTCATCGCCGGTCGCACCTCCGACAGCGCTTCCCTTGCCTCTTGCAGGCCGGGAATCTCCAACAGCAGTGGATCAAGTAGCTCCGGGATTCCACACGTGCACGGGCAAGACCATGCAGCAGGTTTTGACGTGGGTCGACAGACGGGGCGAGGCAGGATGCCTCGCGGATCTACTATCTTTTGGAATTGTGAAGCCATTGGGCATGTGCGGATGTCATTCGTCGGGCCCCGTCTTGAGACCAGGAGTTCGGTCGAGCCAAAGCAAAAAACACTCAAAACCAATAGCATGTGCTCGGTGCCCCCGTTGCGATAACAAGCCGTCGGTTTCATTCATTGGCACTCCTTTCGATCTCGAGAAGAACAAATTATCACTCAAAACGCATCTTCGATTGGTTTGCCACTGGCTTGACGGCGCAACCATGGCTGCTGCAGCTCATGCTGAGAGTATCTTCCGCGGGACAGTTTCAGATGTATTTAGAAAGCTGCGAGAATCAGTCGTTCGGGGTATGAAATGAACCGCCCAATCCTTGAAGATATGGACATTGTTGTTGACCTGACATTCGGACCACACCGGCGCGTCGCGCACTACGGTGCGCCAGCACGGCCCAGAAAGATCGATGCTATTCCGTTTCAGATTGTGATTGGGTTTCGCTGGGAAAATGGTGCTAGGCGTTTCTTACCCAAAACTCTTCGAACAAATCACGTACCAACGAAAAACGCAACATTCAACGCGGATGTACTTGGGACGGTTGCTGCGCATTCGTGCCGCGTGACGTGCGAT